CTTTCAGCCTACCCTATCTTGACATAAAAATGCCCTGACATGCTATACATGTAAAGAAAAAGGCACATGCTAACCAGGGGCGGACTGACCATTTGGGAACTCAGGCATTGCCCGAGGGCCCTGGGTCAGTAGGGGGCCCCATGAGATGCCCCTGGTACCTTTTTCATAGGCTTTTTTGGGTGTGGTTTGATTGTGGGTGAGGACAAAGGGGGTCCCATGAGTTTTCAGTCCGCCCCTGATGCTAACCTTCCCTGCCATCCATGCTGCTGAATGTGGTCACATGACCAGGCACCAAAGGGAGCCAGAAATGGCTATTTGTAGAAAAAGGCAAACTTTAACCCCCCCCCCCCCAATATTCCCTAATTGATACACACTAAAACACCTACAGCCTGGGGGCTAAAAAACTCCAAAGCATTGTACGCATGGCCGAAATCGTCCGGTTTGGCAGGAAGATGGCTGACTGTTCTACAGTAGCTGGTCTCACAACTGGCTTTTGTGTTGAATGGGCATGCTGGAAAACCAGTATCTGACCTGCATCCGATCAGCTCTGGCAGCCCATGTCTGCGAGCGCTGATCACTGTGTTCTGTCGGGGCAGCACAGCAAGGGAGATCATCGCACCAACATCGCTTGTGTTAGTACAGCGATCTCTCCATTTTTTTTTTTTTTTTCTGAGCGCTGGAAAAAAAAACTTCTAGTTCGTATCCACCTTAAAACTCACCACACACATTACAATCTGATTGTACGATTCCTTTAGATCTGCCAGCAACTACATATGTAGTGCAAGGGCCTGTCTGGATATAGATTGAATGGATAGTTTAGCTAGGCTCTCCTAGTACATAGTTTTAATACATCTAAAGTTGACTGTACAAAGATTTTACAGTCAAATTGAAATATGTATGATGACCCTAAAACGTAGATGCATGAATTTCCTGCCTCAGCTATTGTACCCGACCAGTACCTGCAGCCACTGTTTTGGCTGACAGTTTTCCACTCTGCTCCTTCAATTTTTCAGTCGAAGGATGTCAAGTGGACTGGTGCTGAGCTTGCCATCCACTGATCGAATTTTGTCCACTTCCTTAGGAAACAGATGAAATTTCCTCATGTATGACCAGCCTAAAGCTCAGTCAGTGGCCCCGTCGACTGCCTCCTACCCCAACATCCCTTGATTGAAAAATTGAAGGACCTGGGCAGAAAATTGTGGACCGAACAGCATCTGCATCCAATCAGATTCAGCTGCTGTTTGGGTATTTTGACAGATGGAGAGGCTTGCTGTCAAAATACAATAGCGTGGATGGAGGAATCTGTTCGATCTTTTATGTCCAGCCCCCAGAACGGCCATACACTATTAAAAACAAAATCTAATAGTGTATGGCCAGCTTTACAGTGCTGACTTGCTTACCTTTCTGCCTCTAGTTACCATAAGGCTGGCCATACACTATACAACTTTCTGTCCACTTTCTGCCCAGTTTCCTTTAGATTTACCTTCAACTATGTAGTACAAGAGCCTGCCTAATTGGATACAATTGAAAGTGTTGTTAGGTTTGACCTCCTATTATATGGTTTTTGGTAAATCTAAACCAAAAATCTCAAGAAAATTGTATAATGTATGGCCAGCCTTAGAGTGTGGACATCTCTGGGCCACAACGTTGGTACAGTGCAGGCCATACGGGAACCACGGGCAATACAACGCTCAAACAAGTTGGTGAAACCTTCCTAAACAATAATGAGCAGTACCAGGGGCGAACTGACAACTCATGGGGCCCCCTGGCAATAGCGGAACATGGGGCCCCTGTGTCCTTGCCCAAACTCAAAAAGCCTATGAAAAAGGTACCAGGGGCATCTCATGGGGCCCCCTTCTGGGACCCCTGGGCAATAGGGGATCATGGGGCCCCTGTGTCCTTTCTCAAACTCAAAAAGCCTATGAAAAAGGTACCAGGGGCATCTCATGGGGCCCCCTTCTGGGACCCCCGGGCAATAGGGGATCATGGGGCCCCTGTGTCCTTGCCCAAACTCAAAAAGCCTATGAAAAAGGTACCAGGGGCATCTCATGGGGCCCTCGGGCAATAGGGGACCATGAGGCCCCTGTGTCCTTTCCCAAACTCAAAAAGCCTATGAAAAAGGCACCAGGGGCATCTCATGGGGCCCCTACTGACCCCAGGCCCTCGGGCAGTGCCCGAGTTTCCAAATGGTCAGTCCGCCCCTGAGCAGTACTGATTTTAGAGATGCCTGTGATCTCCCCCATGGGGTATCTCTCTACGACCCAGCCTTCTCGCTGGGATGTCAGGTTGGGGGTGGGATTGATCAGTTGATGGCCGACATACAATATTTTAATTTCAGTACATTTGAACCTAAACGTAGTAGACTGTACAATCAGATTGTGCTGTGTATGGCCAGCTGGAGAGTTTCCAGGCCTTGGCTGTGGGTTGATGGGCTTTGCACATCATCGGCAGTCTTTGCACTGCCTTCTTGGATAATCTGTATCAGCTCTGGGATGCTCTATTCAGATGGGGAGGGTTCCTCTCTCCTTTCCTCCCTCTCAGGTATCCAGAGACTTGGCTTATCCTGGGCTAGTGCTGTGCAGGAGGCAGGGAGGGCTCTCTTTGTTGCTGCTGTGAGGGGCAGAGCCTTCTCCTCCCAAAACTTTGTGAGAAGGAGTGGGGGCAGGTTTCTCCTATAAAGCCTTAGCCGAGGCTGCCAGGGAAAGCATTGGACAAGCAGGAACACAGGGACATGTAGACTGCAGCCTCAGCAATAGCCCATCCTGAGTACAGATAAGGACAGCAGCCTGCGGAGAGCCCTCTTCCTCTCCACCACCTCTGGCCATCACTTCTTTCTTTTCTGGGAATGGCTACAGGGGACCTGAGACTTTTACTGCTTCCTCTTCTGCTGGCCCAGGTGGGCTACAGCGGAACCCCAGGATATCGTCGCCCCATCACTAGCCTTCGTGTTTGACGTCACCGGTTCCATGTACGATGACCTCAGACAGGTGATCGAAGGCGCCAACCGCACAACCGCATCTTGGAGCGCACCTTGACCCGAAGGACCAAATCCATCAGCAGCTATGTTCTGGTCCCTTTCCACGATCCAGGTAAGCAAGAGGGGCTGTTTTGGGTCGACTTGTAGACCAGGCTTGAAAAAAAAAATGACAGTTGTGGAACTACAAGTCCCAGAGTGCCTGACTAGCATTAAGATCGTATTCCCTAACCCAAGAGTTTACAATTTCAATGAAAACCTTTTTGTCTTGCGTTGCCTGATTTATGATCTGTGAACAGCACATACATATAGGTCATATCCTTTAAGCCCAGACTTCCCTCATTAAACAAAGGGCTAAAATTCTTGGACCTCTGAACTCACATATTATTTACATTCCAGTGACAAACACCACTTGTATATTTTAGAGCTTGGATAATATACATCTCTCCCTAACAATAGGTACTGTAAATATTGTCATTTACGTAGTTATTTAGGGTTTTAAAACTTTTTATAAAGTTTTATTAAACTTTTTTTTTTTTCTTTGAATCAATCAGCCCATGTTTGTGGTTGGGTCAGCAATGGCAGTCAAGCAGTTAATTCGCTAATGTGGTTTTATTTGGCTGAATAAAGGAATATTTGTTGCCAAAAAATGCCACCCCCCCACTAATCTCCGGCAGTGAAGTGCTATCAGGGGAGCCTGTTATAGGCATATATACATTCTTGCACACTTGACTACACATCTGTATATTATTTAATCAAGAACCACATAAAATAGTTTAAAAAAAAAAAAACTTTAAAAGAAAAATGCACATTTCCAATCCCATGCAAGGAAAAAAAAAACCACAAACACAAAACTTTATATATTTAAAAAAGATTGTAATTATTTTTACTCCCAAAAATATTTTGAATACTTCATAAACAATGCAAGTGGAACCATTTCATGTAAAAGAGGATAGATATGCATTAGCCTAGGTTCATGCTATTGCGGGCTGTGCGGCCTGTGTTTGCTCAGGCACAACAGCCTATTAATTTGAATGGGCTGCTGTGCCCCACCCGTGCATGCACCTTTTTAAAAACGCAGCCGGCAAGAAAATTGCATGGTTCGTTTGACCGTGTGATTTCCCTGTGGTTCCTGCACCGTGGGTTGAGATGTGTGGGGTGCCATTCAGAATTATTTATTTATTTTATTTCAGGTACTTATATAGCGCCATCAATTTTTTGCAATGCTTTTTACATATATTGTACATTCCCACTTCAGTCCCTAACCCTCAAGGGGCGTACAATCTAAGGTCCCTAACTTACATTCATACATACACATACTAGGACCAATTTAGACAGGAGCCAATTCACCTACCAGCATGTCTTTGGAGAGTGGAGGAAACCAGAGTACCCAGAGGAAACCCACACAGGCAGAATATGAAAACTCCAGGCAGGTGGTGCCATGGTCAAGATTTGAACCAACGACTCTAGTACTGCCAGGCGGAAGTGCTAACCATTTAGCCACTGTGCTGCCCAGAATGAATAGCAGCCCACACTTTCTCTTGAGAGCAGTGCGATTTGGCTGTGGGTGGTTCCAGGTGCAGGAACGGCTTCAATTCTTGCACCCGCAACCAGCCTGCAAACTGTGGACAAGTGTGAACCTATGCTACATAAGAGATTCAAGCATGTCTGATAAACATACAGATGCAATACAATTTAAGGGCTGATTCACACCAGCAGCTGTGCTGAATGCACAGCTGCTGGTGTGTGCTGGGAGGACACGGTGCCAAAGTGCCGATCCTGGCGCATCAAACTATTTTCTTATTTTTTGTTAGAACTTTATTGAAATGTCACAGGTAACATTTAATCAACTTTTCTTCACACAGCAGTGTTGGGATGTAGTGGTTTCCACCATAGCCCACTGCACTGAAAACAAACTACTGCATGCAGTGGTGTGAACCCTGACCATAGAAAACCAGTCAATTAATTTATCTTTATGCTGGGACCAGGGGCAGACTGACAACTCATGGGGCCCCCCAGGTAATAGGGGATCATGGGGCCCCTGTGTCCTTGCCCAAACTCAAAAAAGTCTATGAAAAGGTATCAGGGGCATCTCATGGGGCCCCCTACTGACCCCGGGCCCTCAGGCAGTGCCCGAGTTTCCCAATGGTCAGTCCACCCCTGGCTGGGACTGCACTAGGCAATGCTGCCCAATGCATGTCAATGCAAATGATGTGTTCAGGCCCCTTAAAGCTACAATGAGCAGGAGTAGCAGTCTCATGTTCAGGGTTCTCATATGCGAAAAGCAATTGTGTAGATTAAAAAACTGTTCTGATTTCTTTAATTTTTAATCATTCATTCACACTTGTCTGTTTTCCTGCATTAATTTCACTGCATGAAAAAACGCATATCAAGCAGAAATCCCATTCATTCCTATGGAGCTAATTCAAGCCTATGCTCTGCTGCTTATTAAATAGTAACATCTGCATTTTTGGGTGTATCTGCATTCAACAAGCTAATGTAATTCTATGTGATTGATACTTTCGGTACCTTGGAAAATCCCTATTCTGAATGTTTTCCTCTCAGTTTACATAACTCATGATCAACATATGGCCACTTAATTGCTGCCTTTTATCTCCTAGATTGTAAGCTCCAAGGATCAGGGCCCTCCTATCCCTCTTGTATTGAACTGTATTGTTGCTGTATTGTCTCTCGTTATATTGTAAAGCGCTGAGCAAACTGTTGGCGCTATATAAATCCTGTATAATAATAATAGTATGCAGAACCTGAGTAAAAAGCACAAGTTATGTTCCATAAAGGCTTCATGTATACATGCACGTAAAAGTGTGTGAGCGTATATATACGGAAAATTATTCTTCATTCACTTTCAAAAATAAAAAAAGCTACACGCCACAATGCACTTTTTTTCTTTTTTTTGTGCCGTGTGTAAAAGGCCTAAAAGCTGCGTTTTACAAATGACAAATATGTATACATACTGCATTATTTTGGACTGAAGTACCCCCCCATATCTGAGATATAAGTGAAGCTAGGTTTACACTAGAATGTAGTGCAGGAAACCCATGATCCGTGGGCGTTTCTAGCACTGCATTCAACATGCACTGGAGTTGCAGTAATGGGTGTCAGGGTTAAGTTAACACCCCAAGCACAAACTTAGTGCGCTTTCTTGCACCATTATTGCATGGTATAAATGTAACATGCAATCCAGTTGCAGTGCTTTTCCAAAAGTAGGGCATGCAGTGCGATTTGAGCCCCATGCAAAATGAATGGACTCAGCCTAGGTTCACACTATGTGCAACTCACATGCCATTCTGTGAGTTGCGATTTGAGCCTATTCATTATGAATGGCTCAAATCTCTTTCTGCACCCGCACCAAAATAATGCAGGCAGCTTGTTTTTTTCGGCCCACTGGAACTGTATCGCATGGTTGTTTTATACCCACGAGATCCGGTTCAGGCAAATTTGCTGCCTTTGCGACCTGCTTTTGGGGTGTCGTTAACTTTCAATTGACACCTGCAGATCGCAGAACACATTGCTGGGCAGCACAGTGGCTAAATGGTTAACACTTCCGCCTGGCAGTACTGGGGTCGTTGGTTTGAATCCCAACCACGGCACCTCCTGCCTGGAGTTTGCATGTTCTCCCTGTGCCTGCGTGGGTTTCATCCGGGTACTCCGGTTTCCTCAACACTCCAAAAGACATGCTGGTAGGTTAATTGGATCCTGTCTAAATTGGCCTTAGTATATGAATGTGAGTTAGGAATCTTAGATTGTACACCCCTTGAGGGTTAGGGACTGATGCGAATGTACAACATATGTGTAAAGTGCTGCGTAAATTGATGGCACTATTTAAGTACCTGAAATAAATTGCAATGCGGTGTGGGTAACGCACACGGATCGCTGCGTTTCCTGCACCATGTAAATGTGAACCTGGGCTCAAATTGCACCGAACTGAATCATATGTGAATCGAACAGGAATGCGCGACACATTCCTATCGGATTCATAGCGTGAACCGAGCCTAAGGTGGTTCACATGGTCAGCCAAGGGGGTGATAAAAGCAGGCAGTTTTACCAACCACCTGCCTAAAGTGGTGTTAATATGCCTTGGCAAAAATGTTAACCAGTAATATCACCAAACGTGATGCATTCATCTGAATAGGGCTGCACCCTAATGCATGTGGTTGTGGCGCAGTAGTTTACCTATTTCATGGTTAAATCAGGCGGACGCAGAGGCACCATACAGTATCACCTGCCAAATGCCCTCTGAAAAGCAATACACAACTGATCACTTTTCATTGGGGCTGCCACAGGTTTGAATGAGGCCTAAATAAATCCCTCTATATTGAAGATGGAGATGAATTTTGCACACAGCTGTCATTGTGTATTGTGTTATGTTTGGCTTGTACAGGCCTTTGAAGTGCCCATAAAGGCTCCGATTTTGCTGTTGCAATGAGGGTGTGTCCACAGCTGTCTGTACAACACAAAAGAGTGTCAGGTCTTCCTGCGGAGTGCATTAGATACTTTAAGATGCCCTACAAGCAAAAATAAAGAATATAGATAAACCTTCCTATTTCCAAACATTATTGTTTTACTGCCTTGCCTTGCTATAGCAAATCTTCTAAAAAGGTGTCAATCTACTTTAAACGCAATCAGACCAATATACATGAATGGGAATTAGTGCGCCACACAAAGACACATCTGTCTTCCTACATAGGTAATGAGTAACAGTGGTACAAGGCCAGATCTGTATTCACAAAAGAAACAGCATGCTCTGAGATGTTCTAGCATCTCAGTGTGATCTAGTTTGTAGAGATCAAAAGCTGCCCATTCATTGTTGTGTGTGTTGTCACCCAGTGTTTGTTCCTTTTAACACCTTCTCTTTGAATAAGCTGTGGTAGTCTCTTTATCTGTGTGAGCTGGAGGATGCTGGTGTTTGAACAATGCCTGCATCAAAGTGTCACTGCTGAGAGGACACAATATTGACTCTAGATCCTTCATTAGAATACACATCACTGTTGGTACCCATTGACTGGCCAGCCTGGAAGATGCAAACGCAATCACTGATGTCTCATATACCATGCTAATATCATTTCCAAAGGATTTTTCAACTTTAAATCAAAAGATTTCATTAATATATTGCCTGGTGGTCCTGCCATGTTAGAGTGACAGCACTTTGTCCCTATCCGTCGAGTATTCCAGTGGAAATTATTAGTGGAAGTGCACTCTTTTGTGCAGGCATGCTCAATGATGACAATGGTCGTAGTCAGGCAGCCATCACTGGAACACTTCTTTGTGGAATTTTTGACTCTAGAAAGTTTAACAGAGTTTGTTCAGTATGATCGACAAAAAATGATTCCAGACATCTCGGCAAGCAACCATTAGTACAGAAATGGGAACCTTTACTCTCCATTCACAGCAGCTGCTGTATTACAACACAGTGGGTGGTATGCGGTGCAATTTATTTTTTAGTTATTTATTACAGGTACTTATATAGCACTGTCCTTTTACATATATATTGTACATTCACATCAGTCCCTAACCCTCAAGGGGCGTACAATCTAAGGTCCCTAACTTACATTCATACACATACTAGGGACAATTTAGACAGGATCCAATTAACCTACCAGCATGTCTTTGGAGTGTAGGGGGAAACTGGAGTACCCAGAGGAAGCCCATGCAGGCACAGGAGAACATGCAAACTCCAGACAGGAGGTGTCGTAGCTGGGATTCGAACCAACAACCCTAGTACTGCCAGGTGGAAGTGCTAACCATTTAGCCACTGTGCTGCCATGGTTGAATAACTGCTGTGCAGATGTGCCTACTGCGGCACATCGTACTGTTCACTTTTTTTTAAATCAACTGTATTGAAATGTCACACAGTGACATTTCATTAAGTTCTATTGGCCGACATGGGGATGGGGCTTTACATTTTTTAAAAATGTTATTTCTTTTATTTAAGTTGATTTTTCACTCTATTTTTTTTATTTATCTTTGTTATTACAAGGGATGAACAACATCCTTTGTGAAAAGCTGGAGCAGTGACATGTTTTTATTGAGAAATGTGGGGTCTATTAGACCCTTGATTTTTCCTCTGCCCTGCTAGGCAGCCAATCAAACCCTAGACTGGATGGTTGGCTTCCTCACTGGCTAGTGAATAAAAAGCCGTAACCAGAAGTGCCAGAATCCACAGCGCTTCTGGCTTCATTCGTCACAGAGAAGGGGCAGGCATGGATGTTCCTCCTTCTCCTCTGTTCTTAGCCAACCCAACCGCAGCAGTGTTCCTGGGCTCCCCAATAGGGAGGTAGAGCCAGGCCTTTATGCCCTGGAAAAGTGATCCGGCGGCTGTAGAGCTGCTTGAACCACTTATATCATAAAGCCAGTCGCTGGCTGTAAAGATTAATACCAGGATCATGGCTGCAGCTGCATCCATAACCTCTTGCTGCCAAGGTTGTACAGGTATATCCTCTGGGCTGGAATTGTTTTGCAGAGGAGGTTTTTCTGTTTTGTTTTTTTCTGGGGGGAACCAGGCATAACCTCGACATGGATTCTGGGCTCCCTCTTGGGAAAGGCTAGGTCTCCTTGGCAGCCATCTTTAAGACAGAGATATTATGTATAGCCTCTGCTGTGTCAATTTAGTGCCTGTATTGTGGTTTGAGGTAGAGACAGAGGCCCATTTGTGTGGGAAAGATAGGTTTAGCATTAAAAACATATTTCTGATGGAGAGTGTCCAGGGACAGTATGATTACCATTGTTCCAGCTAATTGGTCTGGTGCCTCTGCAAGGACACTGTTCTTTTGAGAAGTTCACCTTCAATAAGACTCGTGGGTATGTGGACAGAGCCAGTAGTTGGGTACCCAAAATAATGAAGTAATACACAGAAAGTCCACAAGAGAGTTGACAGATCTTGTACTTTAAAATACCCAGGTTTCAGAAATAGTAAGGATGCTTGCAGAACACATCTGGTAACACTAGTAGGATCTCTCTTGAGGACAGGTGCAGTAAAGGCTCAACAACTATTGCAGTAACAGGAGAGACAACAGTTCTCAACACAGTACTGGTACGGTTCTTTCTGGCACACGTGGATATAAAAGTGCAGATAAGCCTCCTTGAATTGGAATATCCTGGCACTAGAACATGGCTACAGAGTTGGGCATGTCTTTAGGTACAGTAGTCAAAACATATACAGGGCCTACT